GATCGCCCCGTGCCCGGCGTTCCTGTGCCAGCTCCGCTCCCGGAGCTCGGCTCTGCCCGGGGACATTCCCCTGAAATTCAAGGGGAAAATGAGAAAGGGCCGCGGAATGCGGAGCCGCTGGAGGATTTTACCCCGGACGTCCTTGGCTCCTCACGTACCCAGCCAGATGCTTCCTCCCCCTGCCCAACACCTGCATTCCGGGAGGGGGCTGTGCCTGAGAAGCCCTTTGGGATAAGCGAAGCCATAGAAATGTAAATTAAATTATTTACCTACTCCCATTTAAACGCTCTGCCCTTCTGGCCAAGGAGGATCGCGGTGGGATGGGGCGGGCTCCAGAACCCGCTTAGCTCTTTGTGCAAAATGGCAGGGAACTTTGGGGAGTATCCTACCAAAAAAAATTATCTGAGCAAACAAGGGAGAAGGGGGAAAAAAAAAATCTTAATTTTGGTGCTTTGCACAGTGTTCTGTGGGGCTGCTGGGCCGGGGATTCCTCACCCGGCGCTGCCCAGAGTTTGGTTATTATTCTTATTCCTCCTTTTTTTTTTTTTTTTTTTTTCCACACAAGGAAGGACCCGGAATCAATCACGGGGCAGGAGGGAGCAGCATTTTAAAGGGAAAGGCAGAGACACAGCGTCCCTGGAGTCGCCAGAGCCAAAAATACCATTTCAGGGTTTCAGTCTCGCTGCAGTTTTAGCTGGGGGCAGCTGCAGGGGAGGGATGGCTCCACATGCACCCCGGGCTCCTTGCCTGCAGCTGCTGGAGCCTTCCCGCTTTCCACGGAGCCGGCGGGAATTGGCTTTTCCTGCTGCCCGCGGCTCGGGGCTCGGGGGTCGGGGGCTCGGGGGTCGGGGTTCGGTGCCGCTGTGGAGCCGCTCCGGCCGGGCCGGGCCGGGCCGGGCCGGGCCGGGCCGGGCAGGAGGTCACCTCTCCCGGCTCTTCCTCCCCTCCAGGTTTTCCCTGGACTGTGGAGCACGGCCCCGCTCCTTTCCCGGTCTGGTTTTCCTTCCTGAGCTGCTCCTTCTAAACCTTTTCCCTTCCTCCTCCTCCTCCACCCCGCGGCAGGACCGGGACCGGAGCCGCTGCCCGTCCCTCCTCCGGCCCCGAGCTTCTGAGGGACCCCCGGGGACCCCCGGCCCCCAAATCTTCGCCTCTCGTCTCCTGCGGGCGCTGGCACGGGTCCGTTTGTCCGTTTGTCCTCCCGAGCCGACCGTCTGTGCGGCGCTGCCCCCGCTCCCCACAGCTCCTTCCCTCCCGTGGAAACGGGGCTCGGTAATGGCCGTGAATCCCGGGGGATCGTGAATCCCGGGGGATCGTGAATCCCGGGGGATCGGGGCCCTTGAGGCACATCGGCGAATTAACCCGTGCGGGCCGGGAGGGAATCACCCGGCATTGTCAGCTGGGAGATGGGAGATGGAGCCGGGCCCGAGCCCGCCGGGGTCCCCGCAATCACCCGGGACAGCCACCGGGGTCACCGCAATCACCCGGGACAGGCACCGGGGTCCCCTTCCTGCGGGGTCACCGCAATCACCCGGGACAGCCACCGGGGTCCCCCTGCCCGCGGGGTCACCCCGACCCCGCCCGGGCCGCCCTGCACCCGCCGAGCAGGGAATGGAAATGAGCCGAGAGCGTCTCTGCAGCCTGGAAACCCAAACCCAAAGGGTGGCAGCTTTTAAAGGCGCTGACTTTGAGCTCAGCTCCTGCTCGCCCTGCATCATTTCCCTCCCGCGCCGCAGTGCAGCCTCCTGCTGTTCCTTTGTGTCCCCTCCGTGTTCAGGTGTGTCAGGCCAGTGTCCCCGCGGGCACGGAGGCTCCAGCCCTGTCACCGCGGTGGCTCCAGCCCTGTCACCAGGGTGGCTCCATCGCTGTCACCAGGGTGGCTCCAGCCCTGTCACCATGGTAGCTCCAGCCCCGTGGCCAGGGTGGCTGCGGTGCCGAGTCACGGTCGGAGCAGGGCTCAGCCTCCCCGCGGTGCTGACAGCTCGTTAATTAATTCCGTTAATTCGCCCATGAGCGGCTCCGCAGCCCCCCCGGCCCTCCCGGCTGCCGCAGCCGCAGCCCGGAGCTCCCCCGGGAATTCCGGCCCGGGAGCCGCTCGGGGCTGGGCTGTGAGCGGGACCGGCGAGGTTAAACCCTCCCTAAACACCCCAGGGTCCCCCCTCCCGGGGGCTGCGGCAGCTCCGGTCTCTCCTGACCCCCCCGCAGCAAACCCAGGCTCTCCAAAATCCGGGAAAACCCCCGAGCAACCGAGCAAGCCCTTGTTCCTCGTGTCGCGCTCGTTAAGTGCCGCAGAAATCCCCTCGCGGGCGGCCGCGGCAGCTGGTGCATTGTGTGCCATTACAGACGGCTCGGAACGAGCGCGTTCATCCCGGGGCTGGCACAGCCGCGGGGACCGAGCGAGCGCCCGGGGCCGCTCCCGGCCCGGCCCGGCCCGGCCCGGCCCGGCTCCGCGGGGCCCTGGCGGGGCAAACGCCGAATCTGGGCTGCAGGAGGCAGCTCCAGCCCGGCAAACCCCGAGGGCCGGCTGGCAGCGCTCACCCCGCTCTGTCCCTCGCCCCAAAGACTTTACAGCCAACATCTTCTTTTTAATTCCGACACCCGCAAAATAGCAGCTGAAATAACCCTGCTGTATGTCAGCTGCTGATGGAAGGAGATTAAATATTAAAGCCAGTGCTGTGGCTTTAACTCATTCCATTTTTTTCCCTACTCTTCCCCCCTTCCTCCCCCCCTCTGCTTCCCCTCTCTGTGTAAAATGACATGATTTAGAACCCAAGTGCCAGACTCAGCCTCTGGGTTTCGGCGTTTGGAAATGTGTGCAGAAAGATATATTGTGTCTGTGAGCATTTCTGCGCAGGGAAGGAGAGAGCTCCCGAGCTGCGAGCCCACATAAAGATGTTAAATAGAGCTGTAACGCGCGCCCGACGCACGGAAAGTGCCGGGGAAAAAAAAAAAAAATTAGGGGAAAAAAAAATCCGGCAATGAAGGAAAATGAAAGATTAAAATAAACCTGGCGTTGGCGAGGCCGGGCTGGGGCTGGTGGGAGAGGCACGACCCTGCTCTGCGCCTCCCGCTCTTCCCTCCCTGACCTAAAAATCACATTTGTTTAGCACAAAATGGAGCGGCAGAATTGGGAATTTTCTTCTTTTCCATTTTCCCCCACCCCCGTCTCAGGTGCTCAGATTTCCGACGCCGCCCGCCTGCTAAATATTCATCCGGGCCCCGCACAAAAACCGCGTTTATTTCCCTCGGTTCACCCCGTCCCGACAGGGTCCCACCGCGGGCAGCCGAATTCCGTAAAACCCGGGAATTTTGGGGCCAAAACCGTGGAAAAACGTGGCTGTCCCTTGCCCTGCAGGGCCCCTCGGCGGCGCGTTCCGGGGCGCTGCAGAACCCCGAATTCCCGAATTCCCGAATTCCCGAATTCCTGAATTCCCGAACTGCCTCGCTCGCTGCCCCTTTGTTCTGAGCGTTCCCGGATCCGCGAAAGCCCCTCGGACAAAAAGGGTTCAGGGAGGCTGGAGCAGAGCGGCGGGGAGGAAAAAAAGCCCCGATGAGGCAGATTTTGGCCGAGCTGTCGAGAAGTTTTATTTCGGGTTTATTTAGGGTTTGGTTACGGAGCGCGGCTGGGGGAGACGGGGTTCAGCCTGTTCCTGGAGTTCCACGGGCAAAAACCTCTTGGCTCTTCTGCCAGCAGCTCCGATTTCTCTAAATTTGAGCCCAAATCACGAGCCACCAGCACAGCCCCTTGTGAGCTCCGGAGGACGCTCTGTGTGACCCTGTCCTTGAGCCAGGGAGCAGGCGCTGGATGGGCCCCGGGTCTTGGTGTGCCCTGCCACCGAGGGGGGATTGTCCCCTGCCACCGAGGGGGGGATTGTCCCCTGCCACTGTGGGATTGTCCCCTGCCACTGTGGGATGTCCCCCCCGTGCTCAGCTGGGAAAGGCAGATTTATTTGCTACAAGAGCCGAGCCATAAACAAAGGCGAGGACAGGCCCCGGTGGGTGCCACGCTGCAGCAGCCCCACAGGAACAGTGGCTCCGGGTGGCTTTGGGCTGCCGTGCCCGGGAGAGGGAGGGCAGGAAGGGGAAAGGGCAGGAATGCACTGCTGCTGCTGCTGCTCTGCTGCTGCTGTGCTGCTGCTGCAGCGTTTTCCTGCCCAGAGCGCTGCAGCCCCGGCCCGTTTGTCGCAGTCTATTAGGAGAGACGCAATCCATCCTGAGCTTTATGGGGCTGTGCTTTAACCCCGTCCCTGCCTCGCTCCCCCTCTCCTCAGCCCTCCCTCCTGCCTTTGTCTGCCTTTCCCGGCCCCAAAGGCAGCCCCAAAGCCCCCCAGTGGGGTTCTCACCCTGCCCAAGCCCTCCCTGAGGGATGGGGTCGATCCTGCGGCTCTCCCCGCAGGTGGGATTGTGGTGGGTGGGAGATGCTCTCCCTCCCTCGCTCCATAAAGGAGCTGAATCTGCTGAAAGGGGCTGGCTATGCCTTACCCCAGGCAGGAAAAGTTGCCCCAATTGAACCAAATTCCCCTCTTCCTCAGCCAGCAGTAGAGTGGGAATTTTGGGATTCAGAATTTCCGTGCGTTTCCATCATCTGCAGCCGCCGCCTCGCTCCATCACCTAAAAATCAGATTATTAAAAATCCTTGCAGAACCCCTGACAGAGGCTTTTCCCTCTGTCCCCCATGATCCCACAGCCTGTCCCTGCTCCCACAGCTCTGTCCCTGCTCCCACATCCCTGTCCCTGTCCCACAGCCCTGTCCCTGTCCCACATCCCTGTCCCTGCTCCCACATCCCTGTCCCACATCCCTGTCCCTGTCCCACGTCCCTGTCCCTGTCCCACATCCCTGTCCCCCTGTCCCACATCCCTGTCCCTTCTCCCAGCCTGTCCCACCCCCGGATCCCCCCCAGCCGTCGGCCCCAGCCTCCTCCTCCTCCCCACGCCCGGCGCAGGCCGGGCCCGTAAAACACAGCACGCATTTATTCCCCATTTTGTAAATGGTTTCGTTTCAGAGGTTCACAAACGAGGACCACCTGGCGGTTCATAAACACAAGCACGAGATGACATTGAAATTCGGCCCCGCTCGCACCGACTCCGTCATCATCGCAGGTATGAGCCCGGCCAGCGCCCGGCAAGATTGATGCCAGGGACCAGATGCACTGCAAAACCCATAAAACCTCCTGTGATCTGCATTTAATCAGGGGGAAAGGAAAGCCAGAGGCTTCCAAGTTTTTTCTTTTTTTATGGTAGTATCAGGTTTTGTGGGGTTTCGGGGGGTTTTTTTTTTAATTTTTTTTTTAAGCTCTCGCCCTTTTTTATTAAAGGCTGGAGGATTTATGGCCAGAAGGGCTTTCACGTCTCTGCGTGTGCTTTGAGGACGATGAAGCAAACCTGACAGAGCAGCTTCCCCTCTCAGCCCAGGTGTCAATTTTCCCGAGCTTTGAGGAAGCTGCAGTTAATAAATTAGAGCCCCGTGAGCTCTGCAGAGCCCCAGCGAGGAGCTCCCCCAGCACCGGGGCAGCGCAGCCTCTGCCAAGTGGGGGGAACCCAAACCCCCCAGATCTCAGAGCAGAGAGACCCCCAGAGTCCCTCCTGTGTCCCTGCTGGCTGCCCAGGCTGTTCCTGAGAGCCAGGACAGGGGACACCCTTCCTGCCCTCCTGGAGGGAATTTAGGGAAAACAAAGCTGCTGCAGGAGCCTGGTGCCTCCTTCTCTGTTCATCTCCAGCCCCAGTCGGGGCTGAGGCAGGGACTGGGAATTCAGCTGCCTTCTGAGGGCTTTGGGGTGAATTGTGGCTGTGGGTGGAAGCTGCTCCCAGGGACAGAATTCATTCCCAGCCGGAATTTCAGAATTTCTCTCCCTGGCAAGGATGAAGCGCTTCAGGAACACAAGGAGCAAGGTCACCCCTGACACTCAGGGGGCTGCTGTGGGGTAAAACACAAAAAAACCCCAAACAAACCAAATTTATCCATGGCCAGTCCAGGACCAGCTAAACCCCCCCAGACCGTGGCACAGACAGGGGGTGTGAGGGCTGTAAAACCCTGCTGGCTTTGAGCAGTGAGATCTGGGCCTGTTATTGCCAGAAATTCCATTTATCCCAGGTTTTTCTGAGCCACCATTTTGTCTCTGGGATTTTTGGGACCATTTTGTCTCTGAGATTTTTTGGGACCATTTTGTCTCTGGGATTTCTTGGGACTACTTTGTCTCTGGGATTTTTTGGGACCGTTTTGTCTCTGGGATTTGTTGCTCCCTCCCTGCCTCCCGAGGCTGTGTGACAGGAGCAGGACCTGGCCCAGGTGGATCACAAAGATCCCTTCTCCTGGGAGGGAGAGGGATTTTTGTGGGAACAGGAGCTGCTCAGACGGGGCAGGACAGCAGCACGGAGGTTCCGGGCTGTTTTTTACACCCTGGAAATGTGTGCAGCAGCTCGGGAGGGCAGTGCTGAGCAGGAACGATCCCAAAGAGCCCCGGGAGCTGTTAAACCCAGCACAAACAGCCTCCTGCGGAGAGACTGGGATGGTGGAGTTGGGGATTTTATGGGCTGGGATCTGGGGGGCAGCAAAGGGTGCCCAGAGGGGGTTTTGCTGCAGTGGCAAAGCCAGCACAGGGAGGGTTTGGGGCCGGGCTGAATCATCCCGGGGATGCTCTTTGTGCTGGAAAATGCCGGTGTTCTCCTCTGGGATGGACCCTGGGGGTGATTCCCCACGGAGCTGGAGGCTGGCTGCAGCAGGGAGGTTCCTGGGGCTGTCATGGGCTGGGTGATGGCCAGAGAGACCAGGAACTGTAGTGGGGTGGGGAAGGGTCCCACAGGGAGGGCTGGGGACAGCGGGGCTGGGAGCCAGCCCAGGAATCACCCTGGGGTCCAGAGCTGGCACAGGGAGAGGAGAATTCCCAGGGAATCACCCTGGGGTCCAGAGCTGGCACAGGGAGAGGAGAATTCCCAGGGAATCACCCTGGGGTTCAGAGCTGGCACGGGGAGAAGAGAATTCCCAGGGAATTGCTGTGGGACTGGGAGTTGGCACAAGGAGAGGAGAATTCCCAGGCAATTGCTCCGGGATTCAGAGCTGGCACAGGGAGGGGAGAGGCTCTGCCCAGCCCTGGGGCTGCTCTCCCCTCTCATCCCTCCCTGTGTTGACGATTTCAGGGAGATCCCACTCCCGATTTTCCCTCCTTGTCCAGCTGAGGACGGGGCAGACCCCAGGGGTGGGAGGGACGGGAATCCCACAGCCAGGAATTCACAGAAATCCTCTCCCTCCATTGATTTTTCCTTTAAACACCGGAGAAACAAAACCAGCACGAAATGGTTGTCCCGTTCCCAAGTGTCACTGGCTGTGCCCAGGGTGACACCCACACTCCCCGGGGCTCCCCAGTGAAGGACTGGCCTGCTAAAATGGGGATTTTTTGCTCTCCCTGACCAATTCTCGGTGTTCCAACCCGAAGCAGATCAGACCCCGACCCCGACGCGGTTCCTGAAGAACTGTGAGGAGGTGGGACTCTTCAACGAGCTGGCCAGCTCCTTCGAGCACGAGTTCAAGAAAGCTGCTGAGGATGATGAGAAAAAGGCAAGAGGCTGTGGCTGCACTGGGAGGACTGGGAGGGACTGGGGACGGCTCCTGTGGGAGGCACAGGCCCCGGGGCAGGATTTGCTGCCGTGTGGGGTCTTGTTTTTGTAACTCGGGTGACTTTGGCTGCTTTTCCCACTGATCCTGGCCTGCAGAGAGCAGATTTCATGGCTTATTATTCCTTCGGCTTTGCACTTCGAGAAAAGGGGAGAAAATAGAGAGGGGGAGCACCCAAAATAGCTGACAGCTCGGGAAGGAGCTGCAGGACCTGGGAGCATCCGGGGCGGGAGCAGAGCCCCCTCGGGAGCCTCCTCGGGGCCGGATCCGGTAGGATTGTGCCTTGGAGGGGCAGGCACGAGGGAGGGGGGCAGCGGAGCGTCCATCCCGGCGCGTCTGGAGCCGGCAGCTCGGTGGAAAAAGAGCAGCTTCTGCTAACAAAGAGCTCCTCGCTCCGCCAGCGCCATCGATCCAGGCTGCCCCCGCAGCCCGGCGAGCGCCAGGGGCTGAAGGACAACGGGATCTCATCAGAAAGCAGCTAATTAAGGACATTTGCAGCCCCCGCCCCTCCCCGCTCGCCGGGCGGGAGCAGCAGCAGATGCGTGCCGGGCGCTCAGCCTGGCACATACATTTACTAAATTGATCTATGTCCGTGCATACGCTCGCAGTCAGCGGCGCTGCTCGGAAATAAACTGCGGGAGCCGAGCCGCGTAAATCTTCCCGAGATGGGGAACGGAGGAATTCAGAATTAAAACTGAAACCTGCCTTCCCAGCCGCTCCCCCCCCTCGCCAATAACAGGCTCTTTAAACCGAAATTGATCTCTCTCATTGGTATGCGGCTGCGGCAAAGGCTCCTGCCCTTTGTTCTGGAGCGGGGAAGGGAGGCAGGAACAACCGGGGATGGGAAGAGGGAATGGCCGGGGATGGGGAGCAGGAATGGCTGGGGATGGGGAGCAGGAATAGCTGGGGATGGGGAACAGGAGCAGCCGGGGATGGTGAACAGGAGCAGCCGGGAATGGGGAACAGGAATAGCCGGGGATGGGGAACAGGAGCACCCGGGGATGTTCGCCCGTGGAACCAGCGAGCAGCCCCGGGGAGCCCAGGCAGCCCCGCGGCCCCGGGCCGTGCTGCCGGGACTGGCTTTAGCACGGCTCGGCCTAAACAGTGCTAAGAAATGAGATTGTGAAGTGTTCCTGGCGAGGGGAGCTCGGGTTTTAGGGCAGGGATTGTCCCCGCTCAGACCCGCTGTCCGGGCGAGGTCAGCCGGTCGCTCCCTGGCCGGGCTGCGCTCCCAGCATCCAGTCTAGTGTTTGTCCTCCCTCTTGCGAGGGTGGTCTCGCTCCAGCGCCGTTAATTAAAACCACGGGCGCAGCGGGAGCTTCCCCGGAGGCGCTTTAAGCGTTCGGAGCGCTGCTGCATGTTAATCCCGCTCCTTTGTGATCCCGCAGCAGCGGCGGAGCTCTAAAAGGGCAGGTAAATGGTTATTGCCGCACCTACCGCGGGCAAAGCCGCCCGGGAGAGCTGCCGAGAGGGCTGGAGCTGTAAAATACCCCAACCCGAGGGGATGGAGCTGTAAAATTCCCAACCCAAGGGGCTGGAGCTGTAAAATTCCCAACCCAAGGGGCTGGAGCTGTAAAATTCCCAACCCAAGGGGCTGGAGCTGTAAAATACACAACCCCGAGGGGCTGGGGCTGTAAAATACCCCAACCCAAAGGGATGGAGCTGTAAAATACCCAACCCGAGGGGATGGAGCTGTAAAATACCCAACCCAAGGGGCTGGAGCTGTAAAATACCCAACCCGAGGGGCTGGGGCTGTGTGCTTTCTGAAATACCCCAACCCGAGGGGATGGAGCTGTAAAATACCCCAAACCGAGGGGCTGGGGCTGTAAAACACCCCAGACCGAGGGATGGATGGATGGATGGATGGATGGATGGATGGATGGATGGACAGACAGGTGATTTGCAAGGTCTGCAGCAGCATCCTTGCCCTGCCACGCCCTCCCTGCAGCTCTGGGGTGGGGACAGCCCTCAGTTCAGCTGTCCCCTGGCCCCGCTGTCCCCCTGCCCTTCCCCGTCCCTGCACGTCACTAACTGGTGCCACTGGGCCACGTGGCTCTGCTGGATCCCAGGGTGGTGGCAAGTGGCCAAGTCCAGGCATATGGTTGGGTTTTATTTTAATGGGGCGCTCATAGATATTTAATAACTTGCATGGCTCTTTGTTTGCTTTTGATAATCGGGTAATAAAATAATTCAGGCTGATTTATACAATGTTTTACAGCTCTTCTGTGAATGAAAGTGCCTCCTGTAACTCGCAGGCATTTGGCTTGGGTACCTGTTCTCCTTAGCAGGGCCCTTTTTATACCAAAAATCCTAATAACAGCCCGTGGAGAAGTCATGTGTGTTACTGAGATCCCACAAAGTGCTGCCATCTGGGGCTGCCTGTTGTTCCTGGGCCTCCAGCTCCGTTTGGCCAGGGCTGGAGCAGCCCCACGCTCTGCCTCGGGCTCCCAGATGCTGCTTCAGTGCAAATAAATAATAATCATTTGGCAAGAGCTGGGAGCCCGAGCCTCTAACTCGGGGAGCAGCGGACGTTTCGCAGGCGGTGCGAGATGGGGATCCCTTCTCAGCTGTCTGTCCTTCTAGAGCTGTCTGTCCCTCTCAGAGCTGTCTGTCCTTCCAGATCTGTCTGTCCTTCTAGAGCTGTCTGTCCCTCTCAGAGCTGTCTGTCCTTCCAGATCTGTCTGTCCTTCTAGAGCTGTCTGTCCTTCCAGATCTGTCTGTCCTTCTAGAGCTGTCTGTCCTTCTAGAGCTGTCCCTCTCAGAGCTGTCTGTCCTTCCAGAGCTGTCTGTCCCTCCTGAGCTGTCCCTCTCAGAGCTGTCTGTCCCTCCCAGAGCTGTCTGTCCCTCCCGAGCTGTCTGTCCCTCCCGGAGCTGTCCCTCCCAGAGCTGTCTGTCCCTCCTGAGCTGTCCCTCCCAGAGCTGTCTGTCCCTCCTGAGCTGTCCCTCCCTAGCTGTCCCTGCCGAGCTGACTGTCCCTCCCAGAGCTGTCTGTCCCTCCCGGAGCTGTCCCTCCCAGAGCTGTCTGTCCCTCCCAGAGCTGTCTGTCCTTCCAGAGCTGTCTGTCCCTCACAGAGCTGTCTGTCCTTCTAGAGCTGTCTTTCCCTCCCAGAGCTGTCTGTCCCTCCCGAGCTGTCCCTCCCTAGCTGTCCCTGCCGAGCTGACTGTCCCTTCCCCCTGCAGAGCTCGGGGGCCCTGGACATGTCGCTGCCCTCCACCCCGGAGATCAAGGTCAAGGAGGAGGAGCCGGTGGAGGTGGACTCGTCCCCGCCGGACAGCCCCGCGTCCCGGCCCCGCTCGCCCCCGCACAAGGACAAGGTGGGGCTGTGCCCAGGGCTGCTGGGGTCCCTCTGCCCCCTGGGACCCAGCTGGGCTCCTCAGGGCCTGCGCTGGGCTTTCCTGAGCCTGATTTGGGCTGAAGGGACAGGCAGAGGGGCTGGAGATTCACCCCTTTCTAAAGCACCCTGAATGGAGGGGCTGGAGTCTCTAAAGCACCCTGAATGGAGGGGCTGGAGTCTCTAAGCACCCTGAATGGAGGGGCTGGAGCCTCTAAGCACCCTGAATGGAGGGGCTGGAGTCTCTAAGCACCCTGAATTGGAGGGGCTGGAGTCTCTAAGCACCCTGAATGGAGGGGCTGGAGTCTCTAAAGCACCCTGAATGGAGGGGCTGGAGTCTCTAAAGCACCCTGAATGGAGGGGCTGGAGTCTCTAAGCACCCTGAATGGAGGGGCTGGAGCCTCTAAGCACCCTGAATGGAGGGGCTGGAGTCTCTAAGCACCCTGAATGGAGGGGCTGGAGCCTCTAAGCACCCTGAATGGAGGGGCTGGAGCTTCAGCTCTCTCTCAAACACCCCGAGCCGAGGGGCTGGAGCCAGTCCCCCCTCCCCGTGTGCTCCCCTCCGTTTCTGTGGTGGACGTGCCTGAGTTTCTGGAGGCTGCAGGAGGAAGAGCCGTGGCAGTGGTGAGGAGCTGGCAGTCAGCAGCCCCTGTTCTGTGTTCTGCCCTGCAGGAGGGCCCCTCCAAGCCCGTGATCCTCTCCACGCCCACGCCCACCATCGTGCGGCCGGGCTCGCTGCCGCTGCACCTGGGCTACGACCCCCTGCACCCCACGCTGCCGTCCCCCACCTCCGTCATCACCCAGGCCCCCCCCTCCAACAGACAGCTGGGGTGAGTACGGGCAGGGAGCGCTCCCGGGGCAGGAATTCCGTGCCAGGAATTCCCTGCAGGAGCTGCCGCACTGGGGCTGTCACGGCTGTCACGCTCCGTCTGCAGGAGCAGGAACTGATTGTCCTGGAGTTAGGGAATGAGGCAGAACTCGGTGAAACGAAGCAAAACTCACCGTGGGGAGAGATGAAAGTGCTCCCTGAGCTCGGAACGGCGCTGGCTGGGGGGGAATGTGTCTGGAGCTGGGCTGGCTTGGGATTGTCTCAGGGATTGTGTCTGGGATTGTGTCTGGGATTGTGTCTGGAGCTGGGATGGCTCAGGGATTGTCTCGGGAGCTGGCATGGCTCAGGGATGGTCTCAGGGATGGTCTCAGGCCATGTTTGGTGCCTCTGGAGTGTGACCTCGGAGCTGCTGGCCGTGCCTCGGGGGCTGTTTGCCCTGGCTCGGCTCAGGACCTGCTCCTGGTTGCCCGTGGAGGTTCTGGGGCTGCGGCCCAGAGCGTGGCAGGCCGTGCACGGCAGGGAAGGAGGCTGCCTTCAGCCTCAGGAGGTGCAGGGGTGGCCCTGTGGCCCTGCCATGCCGGGCAGTGGTGCAGAGCTGTTGTTTTCCAGGTCTCCCAGCGGCTCGCTCCCGCTCGTCGTGCAGCTCGCCAACGGCCAGACCATGCCCGTGCTGCCCGGCCCCCCCGTGCAGATGCCTTCTGTCATTTCGGTGAGAGAAGCTTCCAGAGCTGCCTGCCCTGCCCTGCCCGCACTCTCCATGCCTCCATCCTCCCCTCCGGGCCAGGGGCGCTGCAGGAGGGGCAGGGGGAGCAGGGGCAGCAGTAACAGAGCGCCGCACCAGAGGGCAGTCAGTCCCTCTGGAAAAATCCAAACCCGTGCCCTGACAGATGGCTGGCACTGCCAGGCCGGGGCTGGGAGCCACAGGATCCCCAGGAGCTGATTCCATTTGGAACAGCCTGCTCCGAGGGCAGCTGGGCTTGCAGGGAGCACGGCCGGCCGTGCTGGACACTGCGGCCACTGCGGCCACTGCGGCCACTCGGCCAGGGAACGGCACCGGGAAGGGAAGGGAAGGGAAGGGAAGGGAAGGGAAGGGAAGGGAAGCAGCTGCCCCTTGCCTGTGCTCCGTGCTGGGGAGCACAGCCCACGTGCACCCACGGCCGTGGGTGACAGCAGCAGTCCGGTGGCAGGAGTTTGTCAGGACTGGCAGACCTGCTGTGTCAGGGAGCTCCTGCAGAGCTGCTCCCCGTGCCAGCGCTGCTGTCCTGCTCCCCTTGCAGCTGGCCCGGCCCGTGGCCATGGTGCCCAACATCCCCGGCATCCCCGGGCCCCCCATCAACAGCAGCGGGTCCCTCTCGCCCTCAGGACTCCCGGTGCACTCCGAAGCCAAAATGGTGAGTGGCAGGGAGGGGTCACGGGGGTCCCTCAGCCTCCAGCAGCTCCTGCCTTGGCGTTTCCCCTTCCCAAAGAGCCAGGGAAGGGATTTATTACCAGGGTCCCTCTCCAGCCCTAGATCTCGCTGCGGGCACTCAGTGACACTGACAGCCTGCTCAGTCCCTGGGGCTGCCAGCTGGCCAGGGAATTGCTGCCAGTGCCAGCAGCAGGTCTGGGCTGGGCACTGCCCACTGGGCTGGACTGAACACTGCCCACTGGGCTGGGCACTGCCCGCTGGGCTGGGCTGGGCACTGCCCACTGGCTGGACAGTGCCCGCTGGGTTGGGCTGGACACTGCCCACTGAACTGGACACTGCTGTGCCCGTTGCCAGCGGGGTGGCTGCAGGGTGGCAGGGGCTGCTGGGGGCACTGACAGCTCCTCTGATGTCCCTTTTGCTTCCCTGGCAGAGGCTGAAGGCCAGCCTGGCAGCGTCGTCCTCGCTGAACGGCAGCAGCCTGGTGGTGGGCTCGGCCAGCACCATGGTGACCGCGCGGCCGGAGCAGAGCCAGGTCCTGGGCCAGCACCCCGACGCCCCCTCCCCAGCCCAGCCACAGGTCTGTGCTGCTGCTGCTGCTGCTCCCCTGGGGCTGGGGCTCCCAGGGCTTGGCAAGGAGCAGAAAACCTCCCAGCGTCCTCCCCGCACTGCAGAATGGGTTAAAACCCGTTCTTTCAGTGCTGCTCCAGCACTGGGGCACTCCCAGCCCACGTTCTGCCTTGGAGCTGGGAAGGAACATTTCCCCTCTCATCTCCCCGCCCAGTTTGGGGGTTAAACACTTCCCTCTCAGGCAATCAGCTGGGCTGGCTCCTGCAGCCAGCCAAATGCCAGCCTTCCATCAGCGTGGCCACCTGCTCCGGGCTCGGATGGGCTCGCAGAGTTTAATCTCCGTATGCTGCAGTGGGGCTGGGCCGGCCCTCGGTCTGCGGGGCCGGGGCTGCTCCGCTGCCAGCCCTGGCTGCTCTGCCTTTGTTCTCCCAAACAAAACCGGGGCTCTCCAAAGCCTCCCGTTCCCCATTGCCTCCAAGGGCTTGTTCGCTGGACGTTTTGAGGGGAAAATTAATTTTTAAAGCAAATTACCTGCTTAAAACCCGGGATTATCTGCTGCCCCGAGCGGCGGCCGTGCGGCGGCACCGAGCTCCGCTCTGCTCCGTCCTGCCTGTCCCCAGAGCTGCTGCTGAGCCTGCCCCCTGTCCCCTGTCCCCGGCCAGGTGTCCCCTGCCCAGCCCACGCCCAGCACGGGCGGGCGGCGGCGGCGGGCGGCGGACGAGGACCCGGACGAGCGGCGGCAGCGCTTCCTGGAGCGGAACCGCGCGGCCGCCTCGCGCTGCCGGCAGAAGCGCAAGCTCTGGGTGTCCTCCCTGGAGAAGAAAGCCGAGGAGCTCACCAGCCAGAACATCCAGCTGAGCGTGAGTATGTAACGGGGCTGAGCACAGCCCTGGCACGGCGCTGGCACAGTGCTGGTGTGGCCTTGGCACGGCCCTGGCACGGCCCTGGCACGGCCCTGGCACGGCCCTGGTACAGCCCGGGCACAGCCTGGGCACAGCCCTGGTACAGCCCAGGCATGGCCCAGGCACAGCCCTGGTACAGCCCTGGCACGGCCCTGGCACAGCCCTGGTACAGCCCAGGCACAGCCCTGGTACAGCCCTGGTACAGCCCAGGCACAGCCCTGGTACAGCCCTGGTACAGCCCTGGCACGGCCCTGGCACAGCCCTGGTACAGCCCTGGCACGGCCCTGGCACAGCCCTGGTACAGCCCAGGCACAGCCCTGATACAGCCCTGGTACAGCCTGGGCACAGCCCTGGTACAGCCCAGGCATGGCCCTGGCACAGCCCAGGCACGGCCCTGGCACAGCCCTGGCACAGCCCAGGCACAGCCCTGGCACAGCCCTGGCACAGCCCAGGCACAGCCCTGGTACAGCCCTGGCACAGCCCTGGCCTTGTTCCCTCCCAGGACATTTAGAGCAGCTCTTCCCTCGGGCACTTTTGGGGTGCAGCTCTCTAGGTTTCAGCTGCTCCCCCACACATCTCAGAGGGACACTCAGGAGTTTTTGGGAAGCAGAGCTGGCTGGTGGAGCCCCCAGAGCTGTGCTGTCACTGCCCGTGTCCCACTGCAGCACTCCAGGTGTCCCTGGCACGGGTGGCACTGACAGGAGGGCTCAGGAGGAGCTCCGTGACCCCAGCCAGGGACAGGGAAGCCCCTTGGCCACTGTCCCCAAACTGCTGCTGCCCCTTGGCCACTGTCCCCAAAGCAGGAACTCGGCCCCCTCCTGAGCTGGGGACACCTCAGATGAGAGCAGGAGGGGAGGCTGGCAGAGCGTGGGGTGCTGTGGGTGACACGGCTGTGTGTGTCCCCTCAGAACGAGGTGACGCTGCTCAGGAACGAGGTGGCTCAGCTGAAGCAGCTGCTGCTGGCCCACAAGGACTGTCCTGTCACCGCCCTGCAGAAGAAGACCCAGGGATACCTGGGTGAGTGATGGCTGGGCTGGGCTGGGTCTGCTGCCAGGGAGGGAGGGGACTGTCCCCAGGCTGTGCCTGCCACCCCCCGTCATCCCCCTGTCGCTCAGGGTCACTGCACAGGACAGAGCAGGGAGTGCAGAACGCCTGGGCTGGGCACAGGACACCCCAAAAACCCCTTGGAGCCCCCAGGGCATTCCTGCTGAGGAGGATCCCCACGTTGTCCCTTTGACCTTGGGGTGGCACTTGCCGTGCGGGCAGTGCCCCGGGCAGGGGTTGTGTCCCTGTCCCTCCCCGGGGGGTGTCTGCTGTGGCTCCAGCCCCCCCTGCTCTGGCAGCCAGCCAAGCCTGGATCATCCCTCCGAAGTGCCAAATTTGCTGCTCCACAGCAAAGGCCGAGTCAGGAGAGGCCAGACTCTCTCCATGACATCACGGAGCTCCATTGCTCATTCTCTGCCATCTCCACGAGCTGGCTCGGCTTGGGAGTTAAAAAAAAAGAAAAAGGCTCTTTTTTATCTCCTTTTCTTCCCATCATTTTTTTTTTTTAATGCTGCCTGTTTCATTATAACCAACCCGGGAGCTAAGCACGATCTGGGTCCTGCTGCCCTCCCTGCAATTCCAATTCCAGGCTGAGAGGCTTTGGGAGGACGCTGGAGTCCTCTAGCGTTCCTTGGAAAAATGGGAGGATGAGCTGAGAGAACGGAAACTGCAGAAACCCACGGAGAAAAAGGAAAACAAAAATCTAAAAATTTACAATTCCCTGCTGTCCTTGGGGGCTGTGCCTTGCCCCCTGGTCTCTGGGATTCTGTCCTGCCTGGTGAGGCACAGGGTGTGCTGGAGGGGTCTGGCACAGCCACTGTCACCCCTGGTGGCCCAGAGCCACTCGAGTGTCCTGCAGTCCCCACGTCCCAGCCCTGCAGAGCCTGGGGGCTCCCCGCTTCTCCCTGCTCATCCCCAGCTTCCCAATTCCCCTCCCTGCTCCCCACAGCAGCAGGAATTCATCACACATCTGAAGGCCAAAAATGAGACTGCCCCCTCCCCTCTGCCCCTTTTTATGGCCGAGATTTGTGGCCAGGCAGGTCCTGAACAAAGCCCCAGGTCCCTGAAGGAATTGGGAGCTTTATTGGCAGCACCTTGTAAATCTCCAGGGGTGGGGGGCCAGGGGGGGAGATTGCTCTGCTCGACCTCCCCAGCCCAGGCCAAGGTTCTCCCAGGGAGGGGTTAAACCCCACACCTGCTTTTCATGTGGGGTTTCCTGTGGCAGCAACATCCCAGCTCCTGCCTTTGTTTGCTCTTGCAAAGGGAGGTGGGATTTCCAGCTGGCAGCTCTGGGTGCCCTCCGGGGCGTCTGAGAGCTCCCGGGTGATCCCCTGGCTCAGGAGCTCTGCCTCCCAAAATCCTGGAAGCCACTGAACAAAGGGAAGGAGGGCTCTGCCTTTGTCTGCCCCCGTCCCCTCGTGGTGCTGCAAATTCCCAAAAAAACGGAGCAGGCAAAGCCTGGTGATGGGCTCTGATTGATTTTAATGTCCTGGGGAGCAATAAAGAGCAAAGCAGGTGATTTAGGTAAAAAATAGCCCCAAAAGCCCAGCTCCCGGCCCTGCTGAGGGGATCCTGCTCCCCCTGGCAGCTGGGGAAGGGGCTGAGGGGAAATTAATTCCGGTTAACGAGGAATGGATGGTGTGGGAATGAGCGGCTGGGATGAAGGTTCTGCCAGTGCTGCCCTCCTCGGGAGCTGTGCTGCCTCCTGCCTGGAATTCGGGAGGATCCAGCCTTCTCCTCGGAGGGGGCAGCAGTCCCGGCTGTGTCCAGCTCCTGCTCCTGCCCCAGGCCTGCCCGAAGGGAGGGGGATCCACATTCCGTGGGGCTGGCGTCCCTCTGCTCCGGGCTGGAGCGTCCAGCGCGTCCCGCTGGTCCTGATCCGCTCTGGGCAGCGCCACTCCCAAGCCAGACCAGCACCATTCCCGAATCCAGCCCAGCACCATTCCCAATCCAGCCCAGCCCCATTCCCGAATCCAGACCAGCCCCCTTCCCGAATCCAGACCAGCACCATTCCCGAATCCAGCCCAGCACCATTCCCAATCCAGCCCAGCCCCATTCCCGAATCCAGACCAGCCCCCTTCCCGAATCCAGACCAGCACCATTCCCGAATCCAGCCCAGCACCATTCCCAATCCAGCCCAGCCCCATTCCCGAATCCAGACCAGCCCCCTTCCCGAATCCAGACCAGCACCATTCCCGAATCCAGCCCAGCACCATTCCCAATCCAGCCCAGCCCCATTCCCGAATCCAGACCAGCCCCCTTCCCGAATCCAGACCAGCACCATTCCCGAATCCAGCCCAGCACCATTCCCAATCCAGCCCAGCCCCATTCCCGAATCCAGACCAGCCCCCTTCCCGAATCCAGACCAGCACCATTCCCGAATCCAGCCCAGCACCATTCCCAATCCAGCCCAGCCCCATTCCCGAATCCAGACCAGCCCCCTTCCCGAATCCAGACCAGCACCATTCCCGAATCCAGCCCAGCACCATTCCCAATCCAGCCCAGCCCCATTCCCGAATCCAGACCAGCCCCCTTCCCGAATCCAGACCAGCACCATTCCCGAATCCAGCCCAGCACCATTCCCAATCCAGCCCAGCCCCATTCCCGAATCCAGACCAGCCCCCTTCCCGAATCCAGACCAGCACCATTCCCGAATCCAGCCCAGCACCATTCCCAATCCAGCCCAGCCCCATTCCCGAATCCAGACCAGCCCCCTTCCCGAATCCAGACCAGCACCATTCCCGAATCCAGCCCAGCACCATTCCCAATCCAGCCCAGCCCCATTCCCGAATCCAGACCAGCCCCCTTCCCGAATCCAGACCAGCACCATTCCCGAATCCAGCCCAGCACCATTCCCAATCCAGCCCAGCCCCATTCCCGAATCCAGACCAGCCCCCTTCCCGAATCCAGACCAGCACCATTCCCGAATCCAGCCCAGCACCATTCCCAATCCAGCCCAGCCCCATTCCCGAATCCAGACCAGCCCCCTTCCCGAATCCAGACCAGCACCATTCCCGAATCCAGCCCAGCACCATTCCCAATCCAGCCCAGCCCCATTCCCGAATCCAGACCAGCCCCCTTCCCGAATCCAGACCAGCACCATTCCCGAATCCAGCCCAGCACCATTCCCAATCCAGCCCAGCCCCATTCCCGAATCCAGACCAGCCCCCTTCCCGAATCCAGACCAGCACCATTCCCAAATCCAGACCAGCACCATTTCCAAATCCAGTCAAGCACCATTCCCAATCCAGACCAGCACCATTCCCGAATCCAGACCAGCACCATTCCCGAATCCAGACCAGCACCATTCCCGAATCCAGACCAGCACCATTCCCGAATCCAGACCAGCACCATTCCCGAATCCAGACCAGCACCATTCCCGAATCCAGACCAGCACCATTCCCGAATCCAGACCAGCACCATTCCCGAATCCAGACCAGCACCATTCCCGAATCCAGACCAGCACCATTCCCGAATCCAGACCAGCACCATTCCCGAATCCAGACCAGCACCATTCCCGAATCCAGACCAGCACCATTCCCGAATCCAGACCAGCACCATTCCCGAATCCAGACCAGCACCATTCCCGAATCCAGACCAGCACCATTCCCGAATCCAGACCAGCACCATTCCCGAATCCAGACCAGCACCATTCCCGAATCCAGACCAGCACCATTCCCGAATCCAGACCAGCACCATTCCCGAATCCAGACCAGCACCATTCCCGAATCCAGACCAGCACCATTCCCGAATCCAGACCAGCACCATTCCCGAATCCAGACCAGCACCATTCCCGAATCCAGACCAGCACCATTCCCGAATCCAGACCAGCACCATTCCCGAATCCAGACCAGCACCATTCCCGAATCCAGACCAGCACCATTCCCGAATCCAGACCAGCACCATTCCCGAATCCAGACCAGCACCATTCCCGAATCCAGACCAGCACCATTCCCGAATCCAGACCAGCACCATTCCCGAATCCAGACCAGCACCATTCCCGAATCCAGACCAGCACCATTCCCAACCCAATCCTGCAGCAATCCTGCACCAATCCTGCACCATTCTGGCACCAATCCTGCACCAGACCAGCACCATTCCCAACCCCAATCCAGCACCATTCCCACCCTAATCCAGCACCATTCCCACCCCAATCCAGCACCATTCCCACCCCATTCCCTCCTTCCCCTCCCCTCCCGGGCCGTCCCTGACGCGGCGCTCCCTCCGTTCTCCCGCAGAGAGCCCCAAGGAGAGCTCGGAGCCCTCGGGCTCGCCCGCGCCCGTCATCCAGCACAGCTCGGGCCCGGCCGCGCCCAACGGGCTCCGCTCGGCCGCCGAGGCCGTGGCCAGCTCGGTGCTGGCGCAGATGGCCGGGCAAAGGACAGAGCTGGCCGTGCCCGCGGCCCCGCACGTCATCATGGCCCCACAGTCGCAGTCTGCCGGCAGATGATGGCCCCGGGCCGGAGCGCCCGCACGGACTGAGCCGGGCCGGGACCTTCCCTTTCCCTTTCGGGGTTTTGTTCCTTTCGTTTTGTTCTGTTCCGAGGTAAGGGCAGCTCTGGCGCTTTCCCCCCGGCGCAGCCCCCGGGCAGGGCGCGTCCCGGGGCTCCGTGCGGCGAACACTAAACTCCGGGCGAGCCCCGGGCGCTGGCCCTGCCCCCCGGGCAGGGGGCTGTGACACTCCGTGCTGTCCCCGTGCTGCTCCCAGGCTTGTCCCCGCTCCCCAAATCGTTGCACCTTCACCAGGAGCCTCCCGGAGCTCTGAGCTGACGGGGATCCAGGGCTCCTCCCTGCCCCAGCCCCAGCCGTGGATTTTGGGAAGCAGGCTGGGGACAGGGACGGCCTGGCCAGGGCTGCTCCCGCATTCCCAGGAAATGGGGCTGGGGTGCCCACCAGAGCGGGACGCAGGGAGGGCCCCGCTGGCAGGGACAGCAGCGGGAGTGCCCGGAGCAGCCGCAGCCCCGGCTCCCCTGGCAAAGCCAGCCCACAGTCCGCATCAGCTCCCGGACCTCGGTGACCTCAGTGATGGTGGCCTTAAATCACGGGATCGTTGGAGGGAGCCGGGGCAGACAAAGGATCGCCAGCCCTGGGCAGGGTCGCCCCGGGCAGGGGGCTGTGACACTCCGTGCTGTCCCCGTGCTGCTCCCAGGCTTGTCCCCGCTCCCCAAATCGTTGCACCTTCACCAGGAGCCTCCCGGAGCTCTGAGCTGACGGGGATCCAGGGCTCCTCCCTGCCCCAGCCCCAGCCGTGGATTTTGGGAAGCAGGCTGGGGACAGGGACGGCCTGGCCAGGGCTGCTCCCGCATTCCCAGGAAATGGGGCTGGGGTGCCCACCAGAGCGGGACGCAGGGAGGGCCCCGCTGGCAGGGACAGCAGCGGGAGTGCCCGGAGCAGCCGCAGCCCCGGCTCCCCTGGCAAAGCCAGCCCACAGTCCGCATCAGCTCCCGGACCTCGGTGACCTCAGTGATGGTGGCCTTAAATCACGGGATCGTTGGAGGGAGCCGGGGCAGCCCTGGGCAGGGTCAGATCCCACCCTCCGTGCTGAGGAGCTGGGAGGGGGCCCTTGTCCTGCTGGGGGGACACTGGGCTCTGTCCCCTGTGTCCCTGCATGGCTCCAGAGCTGGCAATGGGAAATGGGAATGGAGAGTGGGAATGGGAATGGGGAGTGGGGAGTGGGAGTGGGAAATGGGGAATGGGAGTGGGGAATGGGAGTGGGGAATGCGAAGGGCTGCCACGTGTTTTTGGGATGTGGAAGGAATCTTGTCCCAGTCTGTGGAACTGCTGCAGCCCCTGGAATTCCTGCCCCTCCCAGGTCCCTCCTCAGCCAAGCCCCCCCTCAGGTCGCACTCGCCACTTTGGAGCCAGGTTGGTTTGTCCAGGTGATTTTGGTTGGTTCCTCCACACTTGGAAGGTTCCCAGGGACAGCGAAACCCAAAGCCAAGGCTGAGCAGAGACTGGGATCTCAGCACTGATGGGAAAGTCCTGAGGTTTGGGTTTTCCCAGAGATGGAATCCAGCTTCTTCCCTCCCTGTTGTGCAGCTCTTCCTCAGCTGGGATCAGGGTCGGGGTCGGGGTCGGGGTCGGGTGGGTTTGTGCTGCTGCTCCCGCACTCCCCTTTGTCCTCTTGCTCATCCCAGCTCCTCTCCGTGCTCCAGCCTCGGGAATCTCTTGTTGGGTCCCACACATCCCCCAGACCCCTTTTCCCCCTTAGAGCTGTTCCTACAGCCCAGCCCGGGGCTCCCAGCTGTTTCCAGCACTCCGTGTCCCCACGGGATGTTTCTGTGCACGGCTGGGGCGCAGGGAGGGCTCGGAGCTGTTTTGGGGGGCCCTCGGGGGGCTCCTCCCGTGCTGTGGGGGAGCCGAGGGGTCCGTCCGGGGAGGAGGAGTTGAGCCCTGGGGGCCTCGCGGGCAGAACCAGGGATGAACCGAGGCTGGAGAATCCAGGATAGCGTTTGGCTGGAAGGCAGCAGCTTCTGCAGCCCCTCGTTTTGCTCGGGGCACTAAGAGAGGCTGCGTTTTCTGATTCCTGCCTCTCTGCTCTTCCCGGGAATCCTCGTGGCCCCCTCGGGATGGGGGTGCAGGAGCAGCTTCCTCCCCATCCCCCGAAGCTCCCCATTCCCACATCCCACATCACCAGTGCCTTGAAAATTGTGCAAATCGCGGAAGAGGAAAGCTCCAGAGGTGGTCAGGGGTGAGCAGGGAACGAGCAGGATCCGGGTTCGGCTGTACCTGGCTCTGCTGTTGCTTCACTCGCAGGGCTGGAGCTTCCCGTGCCCATTCCCCGTGTGTTTCGCCCCAAAAGCAGCCGCTCCTCACTTTGTGACCAGTTTCGGGCAAAGCCCTGCCCTGATTCTGCTCCGTGGTGATTCCTCCCGCTCTGCCGGGGGTGGCAGCCCCGGCCCCGCTCGGCAGCGCCGGGCGCCTGCACTTTGCTCTGCCAGCCCCGGTTCCGGGAGTCCCGGGGGCCGAGCCTTCCTCCTGCCCCCCTGTCCCCTCCTGTCTCCTCCTGTCCCCCCTGTCCCCTCCTGTCCCCCCTGTCCCTTCCTGTCCCCTCCCTGCCGGGACCCGCCGCCCGGGGGACACCGGGGGCTCCTGGCGGCTCCGTTGGGGGATCCCGGGGAGCGGGATCTGCTCGGGGATTTGGGGTTTGTGGATTTTAGCGGAATCCTTGAATAGGAACGAATGGCTGCAGACCAGGCCCCGGGAACCCCACGGGGGGAGCTGCTGCTCCCTCCCTCCTCTTCCTCCCTTTTCAGCCTCCAAATCGCCCGGATCGGTGCGGTGGGAAGGGTTGGTGCCCGTTTCCCCACCCCCCCGGGGGTGTTTTGTCCGAGATTCTTGGCTCAGGTGGGAATTGTGTCATTTTGGGGGCTCCTGGACCCGTTCCTGCTCTGTTTACCCCAGTCCCGCCCCAAAACGAGCCCGGGAGGTGCCGAAGGGACACGGGAGGAGGGTCCTGGGCGTGCCCCCCACCCCGCAGCTGCTTTGTGCCACGAGCTTTGACGATCAATAATGGAAGAAGCCAAAAAAGGACCCCCGAGTACCTGTGTAGTATCTTATCAGTCCATATCGACGCCTATACGCACCCATGTATCGTAGATCGGCCGCCGCGGGTCTGACCCGACCCCCGCAGCCCCCCAGGGACCCCCGCCCCGCCCGAGCTCCTGTGAGCGGGTCCTCACAGCCCCCGCGGGGGCCCGGGGCCGGGGGGGACCCGGGGGACACGTCCCAGCCTCCCCCAGCCCTCGGCCGTGTCATACCAAACATGTAACGTGCCTTTTATTTATGCTGCAAATATAACATTAAAATATTACCCAGGAGCCGCCGGCTGCTGCCCTTTGTGGGGGGTGCGGTCTGGGGACACCCCCGGCGTCACTTTGTCCCACGGACACCCCTGGGTGTCCCCGGGGTTTCACGGTGTGGGTGGCGCTGGCCCGAGGGTGACACCGTCCCACCCGGGACGACGTGGGACTGTCACCCCTCAGCGGGGGAGCTGCTTGTGGGGACACCGCAGTGTCCCAGCCCTCGGCTGCGTTTTTTGGGGCGATTTCGGCTGGTTTGGGGTCGGGAGGAGCCGCGGCCGCGCCGTCGGGGCTGCAGGAGCGCGCAGCGGCCACCGGGGCGCCGCCGCCCTGGGAGCGCTGCTCCGGTCCCTGCAGCGCCCCGGCCGCGCCCCCGGGGCCCCCCCGCCGCCGCAGAGGTGAGCGGGGATGGGGGTCTGGGGGGGGTCTGGGGGACACCGAGGGACGGGGTCGGGGGGTTTGGGGACAGAGCGGGGACGCAGGCGGTGGGGAGGGACACGGGGGGATGGGGGTGCCTGAGAGGAGGGTCGGTGGTGTGGGGATGGGGGTCCCCATTAAGTGTCCGTGTTCACCCCATCCGTCTGTCCGTCCATGCCATCCACCCCTGTCCCTCTGTCTGTCCCCATCCTGTCCCCGGTGCGGATCGACGGTGCCGTGTCCCCCCGGCAGGTTGGGCCGGGGGACCCCGGCCCGGCTCAGCCCCCGCAGCTGGGACCCCCCGGCGGCCCCGTTCTGGACGATGGCGACCCCGCAGCGCTTCGGCCGCCGCCGCTGAGCCCGGCCCCGAGCCCGGCCCGAGCCCCCCGGTGGCTCCGAACGCCCCCCAATAAAGCGATCACCCCCACGCCGAGCCCTCGCTCTGCTTCCGCCCCGGGGCGGGCGGGGGGACGCGGCTGCTGCCCCTCTCCGCCCCCCAGCCCCCCGGCCCCAAGCAGACACCGACACGGGGAGTACAAACCCCCCCAGCTTTATTCTGGGGGGCCGATGGCACCCGGGGACCCTCCAGAACGGGGGGCCAGGCCGCAGGGGGGTCCCGGGCCCTGAGGTCCGTGTGTTCCTCCACCCGCAGCGGGGTCGGCGCGGTGGCCGCGGGTGGGGGGGGACGAGGGGCAGTGCCTGGCGCTGCCCGGGGGGACGAGGGGCAGTGCCTATGCCCGGGGGGGCTGCCTTACCCCGGGCAGGGCTCACTCACCCCAGGCAGGGCTCAGCTGCCCCGGCAGGGCTCACTTGCCCCCCCAGCAGGGCTCACTTGCCCCAGCAGGGCTCAGCTGCCCCTGGCAGGAATCACTTGCCCCCGGCAGGGCTCAGCTGCCCCAGCAGGGCTCACTTGCCCCGGGCAGGGCTCAGCTGCCCCCAGCAGGGCTCAGCTGCCCCAGCAGGGCTCACTTGCCCCGGCAGGGCTCACTTGCCCCCCGGCAGGGCTCACTTGCCCCGGGCAGGGCTCAGCTGCCCCAGCAGGGCTCACTTGCCCCCCGGCAGGGCTCACTTGCCCCCGGCCATGATGCGCAGGTACTGCAGCGCGTTGCGGGCGGCCTGGGCGCGGGCGCCGTCGCGGGACGGGGCGGTGCCGTGGCACACCGTGGTCGGCTGCGTGGACAGCTCCACCAGGCACTGGTGCAGCCCGCTGAGGCTCAGCGCATCTGGGGGCACAGCGGGGTCACCCCACGGCCCGCGGCGAGCCGGGGAGTGCCGGGGCGCCGGCTGGGGATGGGGGGGCTCACCGATGTCGAGGTAGCTGATGGCGAAGCTCTGCTCCTCCGAGAGCTCCTGCAGGAGGGCGCAGGCCCCCCCCGGCGCGGGGTTGCCCCCCCGGCTCCGCAGCTGGCCCAGCTTCTCGCCCGCCGAGTTGCGCAGCGAGTCCCAGGTGCAGCCGGGGGCGCGGCCCCGCAGCCCCTCCAGCCGGGGGCACGTCTGGGGAGGGGGCACGGCGTGCTCAGGGACCTGCCGAGCCCCCGGGGTCTGTCCCGACCCCCCCCCGAGGTGTGGGAGCCCCCCCGGGAACAGTGGGACACCCCCAGGGTCACCCACAAGCCCAAAGCCAGAGGGTGCCCTCCCCATGGCCTGGAGCAGGGGCACAGAGGGGACGCTGGGTGGTGGCTCCGGGTGACTCCGGGGTGGCTCTGGGGTGGCTCTGGGGTGGCTCCGGGTGACTCCGGGGTGGCTCTGGGTGACTCTGGGGTGACTCCGGGGTGGCTCCGGGTGCCCGTGTCCCTCCCAGTGCCCCCAGTACCATGTTGAACTGGTCCTCCTCGCCCTCGGCCTCGCTGCCGTCGCGCGGCTCCATGGGGACGTTGTGGATCCTCACCAGCATCTTGGCGGCCGCGTTGCGCTTGGCCAGCTTCTTGGAGGTGCCGCTGCCTGGGGAGGGGCTGGGGGTGAGCGGGACCCCCAGCCCTGCCCCCGGACCCCCAGCCCTGCCTCGGGACCCCCAGCCCTGCCCCAGACCCCCAGCCCTGCCTCGGGACCCCGAGCCCTGCCCCGGGACCCCCAGCCCTGCCCCTCACCGATCTCCACGAATCTCTCCACGCGGCACGTCATGGTGAACTCCTTGCGGTGCGCCGGCCCCGACTCCTGCGTCACCGTGTACTCGGGCAGGCGCCAGCCCTTCTGCACCACCAGCTCCTGCCAGGGGACACGGCCACCCGTGGGGACACGGCCACCCCCGTGGGGACAGCCCCGAGCCACCATCAGCCGCCCCACAGGGGGGTAACGGGCCCCAAAATGGAGATAACCGGTCCCAAAATGGAGATAACCAGCACCAAAATGGAGATAATCAGCCCAAAATGGAGATAACTGGCACCAAAATGGGGATAACCAGCACCAAAATGGAGATAACCAGCCGAAAATGGAGATAACCGGCCCCAATATGGAGATAACCAGCCGAAAATGGAGATAACCGGCCCCAATATGGAGATAACCAGCCGAAAATGGAGATAACCGGCCCCAATATGGAGATAACCAGCCGAAAATGGAGATAACCGGCCCCAATATGGAGATAACCAGCCGAAAATGGAGATAACCGGCCCCAATATGGAGATAACCAGCCGAAAATGGAGATAACCGGCCCCAATATGGAGATAACCAGCCGAAAATGGAGATAACCGGCCCCAATATGGAGATAACCAGCCGAAAATGGAGATAACCGGCCCCAATATGGAGATAACCAGCCGAAAATGGAGATAACCGGCCCCAATATGGAGATAACCAGCCGAAAATGGAGATAACCGGCCCCAATATGGAGATAACCAGCCGAAAATGGAGATAACCGGCCCCAATATGGAGATAACCAGCCGAAAATGGAGATAACCGGCCCCAATATGGAGATAACCAGCACCAAAGTGGGGATAACTGGCCTAAAATGGGGATAACTGGCCCAAAATGGGGATAACGGGCCCCAAAATGGAGATAACCAGCCCAAAATGGGGATAATGGGCCCCAAAAGAGGGACAAGCAGCCCCAAAATGGGAATGACTGTCCCTAAACAGGGATAAGCAGCTCCAAAAGAGGAATGACTGTGCCTAAGTGGGGATGAGCAGCCCCAAAACGGGGATAAGTGTCCCTAAACAGGGATAAGCAGCTCCAAAATGGGAATAAGTGTCCCTAAATGGGGATAAGCAGCCCCAAAAGAGGAATGACTGTGCCTAAGTGGGGATGAGCAGCCCCAAAATGGGAATAAGTGTCCCTAAATGGGGATAAGCAGCCCCAAAATGGGAATAAGTGTCCCTAAACAGGGATAAGCAGCCCCAAAATGGGAATAAGTGTCCCTAAACAGGGATAAGCAGCCCCAAAAGAGGAATGACTGTGCCTAAGTGGGGATGAGCAGCCCCAAAACGGGGATAATCCCCTAAATGGAGATAAGCAGCCCCAAAACGGGGATAATTCCTAAACAGGGATAAGCAGCCCCAAAATGGGAATAAGTGTCCCTAAACAGGGATAAGCAGCCCCAAAATGGGAATAAGTGTCCCTAAACAGGGATAAGCAGCCCCAAAAGAGGAATGACTGTGCCTAAGTGGGGATGAGCAGCCCCAAAATGGGAATAAGTGCCCCTAAACGGGGATAAGCAGCCCCAAAACGGGGATAATTCCCTAAATGGAGATAAGCAGCCCCAAAATGGAGGTGATGGTCCCCAGGAGGAGGTGACTGTCCCCAAAACAGGAACAAGTGTCCCAAAAAGGAGGAAGAGCCCCCAGATGCCACCGTGTTCCCCCCACCCCACAAATGGGGAGGGTCACCCCCAGGGGCCACATCCCCCCCAGGTCATCACCCCAAAACGGGAACAGGAATGGCTCCCAAATGGGGGGGAGGGGCTGGTGTCCCCTGGTGTCCCCTCCCTGGTGCCACCCACCTGCAGAGCCCCCACGGGGTTACACTCGGACTGGGGGGGGGACACCGGCGTCTTCATCTCCAGGGGGGCACCCCTGTAGGACACGGGGGTCAGGGGGCACCCACGGCCCCCTTGGGGGGCCCAGAGGGGCCACGGGCCCCCAGCCCCCACCTGTGCTCCAGGGGCTCCAGCATGGCCCCCCCCCCTCTGAGCAGCCTCAGGGCCACCTCGGCCGCCTTGTGCTTCGCCGCCTTCTTGCTGGGCCCCTGCCCTGGGGGACACCGCGGCTCAGGGACACCGGGGGACACCGGGACCCTCCCCACCGCGCCCCCCGCGACCCCCCAGCGGCTCCAGGGCCGGGACCCCCGAGTTTCCCCCTCGGTGTCCCCGTCCCAAAGGCCCTGGGAGCAAAGGGACAGGGTTTGGGGTCCCCTGGTGCAGGGGATGTCCCCGAGGGGGCTTTGGGGTCCCACCAGTGCCCAGGGGGACACAGGGTTCACTGAGGGGACACGGGGCACGGGGGGGGCCCTGGGAGCTTTGGGGTCCTGGTGATGGGAGCGCTGGTGATGGCCCTGAGAGGACAGGAGGGACAGGGAGGGGACAGGAGGGACAGGGTGGCCCAGAGGGCTCCCCAGGGGGGGGTCAGGGGTCGGTGATGTCCCCGAGGGGACAGGAGGGACAGGGAGGGGACAGGGTGGGAACAGGAGGGACAGGGTGGCCCAGGGTGGCTCGGGGGCTCCCCAGGGGGGTCAGGGGTCAGTGATGTCCCCAAGGGAACAGCAGGGACAGGGTGGGGACAGGAGGGACAGGGTGGCCCAGGGTGGCTCTGAGGGCTCCCCAGGGGGGTCAGGGGTCGGTGGTCCCCGAGGGGACAGGGTGTCCCAGGGTGTCCCAGGGCGGCTCGGGGGCTCCCCAGGGGCGTCAGGGGTCGGTGATGTCCCCGAGGGGACAGGAGGGACAGGGTGGCCCAGGGTGGCTCTGAGGGCTCCCCAGGGGGGTCAGGGGTCGGTGGTCCCCGAGGGGACAGGGTGTCCCAGGGTGTCCCAGGGTGGCCCAGGGTGGCCCAGGGTGGCCCGGGGGCCCCGCGGTCCCACCGGTGCAGCTGATGTCCCCGAGGGTGACGCGGAAGGTGAAGTTGGGCTGGTGGGCCTGGCCCTCGGCCTTGAGCAGGTCGTAGCCCGGGGTCCGTCCTAGGCGCGTGCCATACTCCTGCAGCAGGCTGATGGGCGTCTTCCCGGGGCTGGCGGCCACCATCTGCTCCAGGCTGCGACAGGGACACGGCTGGGGCCACCGGGGCACGGGCACAGGGACACGGGGACACGGCAGGGATGGGGACAGGGACAGGGACACGGCTGGGGCCACCGGGGCACGGGCACAGGGACACGGGGACACGGCAGGGATGGGGACAGGGACAGGGACACGCTGCGGCCACCGGGGCACGGGCACAGGGACACGGGGACACGGCAGGGATGGGGACAGGGACAGGGACACGCTGCGGCCACCGGGGCACGGGGACAGGGACACGGGGACATGGCAGGGATGGGGACAGGGACACGGGGACAGGGCAGGGACACGGCTGGCACTCGCTGGGGCAGGGCAGTGTGGGGACACAGAGGAAGGGGTGGCACTGCCACGGAGCGTGGGGACACGGGGTGGCACTTGTGTGTGACGTGGTCACACGGGGACAGGGATGGAGCCCCGGCACAGCGTGGGGACAGCGGTGGCACTGCCCCACAGCTGGGGGGACACGGGGACAGGGGTGGCACTGCCAGCTGGGGACACGGGGAGAGGGGTGGCACTGCCCCCAGTGGGGGACAATGGGGGACAAAGGGGACAGTGGAGACAGGGGGGACAGGGGGCACAATGGGGACAGCGGGGACAGTGGGGACATTGGGGACGGGGGGGCAGAGGTGGCACTGGTCAGACTGGGAGCACTGGGATCACACCGGGAGCACCGGGAACCGAGGGACAGCCGTGCTGGGAGCCCCGGGAGCACCGGGAGCCCCGTTCTGGGATCCCGGGGGTGGCCCCGGTGCCCCGTGCGCTGCCGGTCCCGGTGCCGGTACCGGGGGTCCCCGCTGAGCCGGGGCTGCAGTCCCGGTGCCGGTGCAGGCCCGGGAGCGCTCCCGGTGCCCGTGCCCGCCCCTCCGGTCCCGGGGGCGGTCCCGGGGCGGTATCGGGGTGCTGACGCGGGATCGGGGTGCCGGTGCGGAACCACAGCGGTCCCGGTGCCGGTGCCGGTCCCTGCCGGTGCCGAGCGGGGTCCCGGTGCCGGTGCGGTGTCGGGGGCTCCCCGGGGCCGGTCTCTCCCGGCGCAGTGTCTGGGTCCCGGTGCCGGTCCCTCCGGTGCGGCGGTTCCCGGTGCGGTACCGGGGAGTTCCGGTGCGGTACCGGGGGGTCCCGGTGCGGTCCCGGGGTCCCGAAGCGCCGCCGGGGGGGTCCCGGTGCCCGTGCCGGTCTCTCCGGTGCGCGGGGCGGGGCCGGGGCGGGGCCGTTCCCGTCGGGCGGGGCCGTTCTCGCCGCTCGCCCCGACCGCGGCCCCGGCCCCGGTACCGGCCCCGCCCGCCGGGCCCAGCCCCGCCAGC